GCCGAATGTGGTGTATAAGTTATCACGTCATTTGGCAGCCCTCCAAGCCACTGCTTTTAGCGCATTAAATTGAATGTTCTTTTATAGTAAAACAAGCATACACAAGAAGTTTTGGTCCACGGCGTTTAATAGCATAGAAACTATCTTGGACATCAAGAAGTGTTGGATTTGGCCAGCGTTGACCAACTTTTTTCCCTCAATATATGCATCTGAATTGAACTTTTTTCTAGTAAACAGCATTTTGCGCCTCTGGTCTGTTCAATGAATAAAGCAAACAAACTCAAATGTGTGTTAACCCATCCCTTCAAATGTTGACCCTCAAAGTTCATGAGTTAGGCCAGCTACTGTACATACTTATATGTATTCGGACGTCAGATGTAAAGTTAAATGTCACAGATGCACATAGGCACTGTGTGCCACTCAAAGTCCTCACCAACCTGCAGGATACGATTTTCGTGATCGGCTGCAGTCAACTGACGTTGCAGTAGCGCAATGCGCTCATGCATCTCGGCGTTCTCATGCTGCAGTTCGTTGACTCTCGCAGTCAGTCGTTCCGCCTGATCCTTTGCCTCGCTCTCTGTCATCGCATTTCGACTGCACAACTGCGTCAGCCTCTCCACGGTGCAGTTCAGTTCACTGATTCGGTTTTCAGCCGCCGATAGGTCCTTTAGTGCGGTATCCAGCCGCGCATTCGAGGCCTAAAGCAGAAACAGGCAAAACTCTCCTGACTACACCTAATGATATATCGACAGAGCAAATGGCGTGTATCAAAGAAAAGCGAACGTAAAAAGCTTGTTTTAGATTAAAAAGCTAAGGGAGATCAGAATGGCTGTTTGTGGCTTGGTAGGCGTCATCAGCCAGTCATACTCGATCTCAAGGATTGAAACCCCCGAGATTTGAACCCGGGACCTTTCGTCATTGAGTTTAACACTCTACCTCGGCACCATGTGCTCGTTGCTTTGTCGGTTCAGAGCCTGTTTCCCGTTCCATCTACAGCAGCTCACTATCTACGCCAACAAAATGGCCATTTTTCTCAAGTATTCTGGGACTTCTATGTTGATGTCTCTACTATGGTTCGATCTATCGTTGACCTGATTTCCAACGCGGAGTCAAAACAGTTTTAAGGCTAGAAACATGGAAGCGATGGTATGTAAAACCCTCCAGACTTGACCCGCTAATAGGCTTGCATGAGACTGGGTGGAACATAATTTGCTGGCCATGGAAGTCTGACTTACTATATACAATTTTAAGACCGGAGGTTCTTTGGACTTAATGCCCACTTTAAGTATAAAAAGTAGTGGAGTCCCGTAAGGATTGCATCCGTCTCAAAATTAGGAACAAAATTTGGGTGACATCTCGAGAAAAAATTGGAAATCTATTAGAAACCGAGTTAGGTTGTGCGGAACTGTGTCTCCTGGGCTAATATAAGTAGCATCGTTGTCCCGTCAGCCATCGTTGTCCTGTCAGCCGGATTTAAACCCCCTTTGGAAGTTCAATAAAGGTGCCTGTATTTCACACAGCTAACGAAATAAATGATTGAACACTATTTCATTCTATCGAGCGAGGAGCTGCATACACAAATCGTATATATATTGCTACTTAATTAGATACAAGTACGCATTATATATAAACTAAAGTTACCTGCAGTTCCGCCGACCGATCAGTCAGGGTGTTGCGCTGGCGCTGGAATTCCGTCTCCAGATTGCGACGTGCGACTTCAGCAGCGTTGACCCTCGACTCAGAATCTTCGAGGGCTCTTCGTATCAGTCGACACTCATCGTTCGACTTAACTGCATGCAGCCGAGAGATGCTTAGGCGCTCCTTAAACGGAAAATATTGTAGCAACAGTAGAGCAGAGAGTAGCAG